TTCAGTATCACGGCTTATTGTAACCATTAAAGTAGGTAGAGTGTACTCTGTATAATGTCCGACACATTTTTGGTAGTTGTAAGTGGCCATTAATATTGTTCTAATAGTATTGCATGACTGTCCTTTGATCCCAACAGGAAGTGGTACTGTATGCAAGTCATATAAGCGTTAGATAATGGTTTTATGTCTTTTATACATGAAACCATCAGAGCATGTGAAAAAATTATATAATCTCAAAGCTAATTTACTTTTTAATCTAAACTGTTACTCAGTTGCTTTGTTTAAACCCTTCTTAGCAAACTTTTCTATAAATTAAATTGCAATAAAAAACTTCTTAAAAGCAACTTCCAACTACTATGCCACAGTTGTGGCCAAAAATTTAACTAATGGGGGATGTAGGCATGTTTTAGGGAGAACTCTACATATTATAAAAATTTTTAAACACTTATTTACCCGGAGAAGGGTTGCAGCTTTTTATGTAATTGAGTAATCATGCACATGCTTTACATCAATATATAATATGTATAGAGTATAAATTTCAACGTGGAAAGTCTTAAAATTCTCTTAATGATGACAATTAAACTGAAATTATTTATGACCCTTTCATTTCTGCCTTTTTAAAAATTTTTAAGAGACAAGGACTCGTATGTTGCTCAGGCTAGACTCTAACTCCTGGGCTCAAGTGATCCTCCCACCTCAGCCTCTAGACTAGCTGGGACTCTGGGACTACAGTTGAGCTCCACTGCACCCAGCTTGACCCTTTTCTTTCTCTAAACATAAATAGCAACTCTCAAAATCAAAATTTTCATTATTTGAAAAATAATAAAAGTCTACTTTGGGCACTGTAATATCGATGGTGATCTTAAAACCAGTTCACAACTCTAGGCTATCTAGTGATTAACATTTCATGTTTTTCTCTTCAACAGTTTCAACCAAGAGTCAAGGTCAGAAACCTTCCCCTCACTGTCAAAAAAGAACTATCTGCCATAATTAACACTGCCCAATATTTAGAGAAGATACTATAATTTACATTTTTATTTGTTTTCCATTTTCTTATTTAGCTCCTTTGAGGGTGGGGGTGAACCTTTCTGAAATGAAACTTTTGTCCAGCAGATGGCAGAAAATAGCAAACGGAAAATCTTGGGACTTAATGTTTTGCTTTGAACTGGAAACCTTTGTCTCCTCCATTTGACCATAGATGTTGAAGTTACCAGGGTCGGGGCGGAGACAAGTGTCAGTTATGCCGGAAGCTGTGTTAGATTGCCAAATGGGGTGGTTTGGTACTGGCGTTGCTTATAATAATTGAGTTTCAGTAGCAAATCAGCTTCCTTGGGAAAAGGCCAAGGGCTTTTCATAATTGTATTGACAACAAAATGAATATGATAAATGGTGTTCATTCAGTTGAGACAAGATTTATAGTTTTCCTTTGGGCAAGGGATGAAGAACAAATATTTATAATAATAGTAAAATTTGTTTAAAAGTTATATTATTTGATAATTCAAAAAGCTTTATTAAAATATTTTGAAATACTTTAAGCAGTTTCAGGTGATAAAGTACGGATTCTTTCCAAAGTATTCAAGTAATGCAACAATGAATAAGTATGATTTTTAAAATGCCATGGATATGAAAGTCATTTATTCTTTCTGAAATGTTCATATGTCAAACCGTCAGTGATGATTTCCACATTACTGCTGGGGAAAGTTTATTTGCCTTTTATCCACATAAATGTGTGTTCTTTAATTTGTTATACAATCCTTAGCATGCAGAAGAAACATCCTGTAAGAGCACATGTCATCTTAAAGTCAAAATGCATTTTATTTATGGCGATTATTTGATAAAATGCTATTTTAGTGGTTAGCTATTTAATTCAAAAACATTTCTATAAACACTGACTGCATTAACTGCTCCACAAACTACATTGCTTTTCACTCTGTCCTTCCAAAACTAAATTGCCTGAAACTACACAGCAACCATCTTGATAAATGGTTTCCAGGGCTGGAGAATTGAAGGAGGATCACTGACTTACTTCTTTGTCCCTGTGATGGGAACGCAACATTAAGAAAACACCTTATCTTGCCACCTTGTTTAAACTTTTCCTAGATCATGCTCAAACTGAAGTATCAAAAATTCAGAGGGAAGTTGGGAAAAAAATTAAGAAATTTGTATGACATTATTTTCTCATACACAGTCTTTTGTTAAAATCTGATCGTTGTGTTCACTGATAGGAACTCAGTGCTGTTTATTAATGTGCATAAACACATAAACAAGATAACAAGATATGTAGAGGAGCACAAACTTTGGAATAGCCCAGTCTTAGACTCCAGTCCTAGATTCACCACTTAAACTGTGGGTCTCGGGTAAGTTACTAAACATCTCAGAATCATAATTTTGCCTTCCATAAAACAAGACTAATAATAACTAACTCACAGGTTTGTTGTGAGAAGTGTCATGATTCTGTTATTCTGTAAAGGGCCCAGTACAGTGGCTGTCATCAAGTAAATACAGTCGTTGTTAGTTCTTTTCCCTGATACGTAATGAGACAATGGAATCCCATTTGCTCACTTAATCAGCAAAGTGGGCTAAGGACTGGGCTAGGTTCGTGAGAAATGCAGATCCTACCCCCAAAAAAGTTTGATATTTACATAAATTGCTATAATAACGTATAGAAAGTGCTGCAAGCCATAACAAAGATATAAACAGGACAGTGAATGCATTTAGCTGGGGAATCAGGTAGGTCTCTGGAAAGGTGAAGGTGTTTCCCTGGGTCTCATCAAATAAATAGGATTGGACCATATGGAAAAAGGAAGGAGCACCGGTTTTCAGTTGACCTAGGCATCAGGTTTAGGGACTCAGTAGTGAAGATATTTTGTTAGAGATACCACTCATTTCATGGTTGGAAATGTAGGTTGTTTGGGACTCTTGAATATCAGTCTCAGGAATGTAGACCCTTATTCCATAGGTATAAGGGTCTACATTATAAAGCAACTAATGGTTATGATTGACTAACACAATCAGAATTGTTTTCCAGAAGAAAGTAATTGGCAATACCATTTTAGGCAAACTGAAATAGAGAGGAAAGTACAGCTGAGAATTCACTGTTCAGCAAGTATTGTTTTTTTCATTTCATTTCTGTGCCAGGCAAAGGAAATGCAATAATGAATAAAATGATTTCTCTTATTTAATTTTGCTTTAAGTTCTGGGATACATGTGCAGATCTTACAGGACTGTTACATAGGTATGCACATGCCATGGTGATTTGTTGCCTCCATCCATCCCCGTCACCTACATTAGGTATTTCTCCTAATGTTGTCCCTCTCTAATCTCCCCACCCCCTGCTATCCATCCTCTAGCTCCCCAACCTCCAGCAGACCCCTGTGTGTGATGTTCCCCTCCCTGTAGTATGTATTCTCATTGTTCAACACCCACTTATGAGTGAGAACATGCAGTGTTTGGTTTTCTGTTCTTGTGTCAGTTTGCTGAGAATGATGGTTTTCAGAGTCATCCATGTCCCTGCAAAGGACATGAACTCATCCTTTTTTATGGCTGCATAGTATTCCATGATGTATATGTGCCACATTTTCTTTATCCAGTCTATCGTTGATGGGCATTTGGGTTTTTTTCCAAGTCTTTGTTATTGTAAACAGTACCGTAGTGAACATACGTGCGCATGTGTCTTTATAATAGATCAATTTATAATCCTTTGCGTATATACGCAGTAATGGGATTACTGGGACAAATGGTATTTCTATTTCTAGATATTTGAGAAATAGCCACACTGTATTCCACAGTGGTTGAACTAATTTATACTCCCACCAACAGTGCGAAAGCATTCCTATTTCTCCAAATCCTCTCCTGCATCTTTTGTCCAGATTTTTTAATGATCGCCATTCTAACTGGCATGAGATGGTATCTCAGTGTGGTTTTGATTTGCATTTCTCTAATGACCAGTGATGATGAGCATTCTTTCATGTTTGTTAGCCACATAAATGTCTTCTTTTGAAGTCTGTTCATATCTTTTGCCCACTTTTGATGGAGTTGTTTGTTTTTTTCTTGTATATTTGTTATAGTTCTTTGTAGATTCTAGATATTAGCCCTTTGTCAGATGGGTAGCTTGCAAAACTTTTTTCCCATTCTGTAGGTTGCCTGTTCACTCTGATGTTAGTTTCTTTTGCTGTGCAGAGGCGCTTAAGTTTAATTAGAATTTTTGTCAATTTTGGCTTTTGTTGCCATTGCTTTTGGTGTTTTAGTCATAAAGTCCTTGCCTATGCCTATGTCCTGATTGGTATTGCCTGAGTTTTCTACTAGGGTTTTTATGGTGTTAGGTCTTATGTTTAAATCTTTAATCCATCTTGAGTTAATTTTTGTATAAGGTGTAAGGAAGGGGTTCAGTCTCAGCTTTTTGCATATGGCTAGCCAGTTTTCCCAACACCATTTATTAAACAGGGAATCCTTTTCCCATTGCTGGTTTTTGTCCAGTTTGTCAAAGATCAGATGGTTGTAGATGTGTGGCGTTAATTCCAAGGCCTCTGTTCTGTTCCATTGGTCTATATCTCTGTTTTTGTACAAGTATCATGCTGTTTTGATTACTGTAGCCTTGTAGTATAGTTTGACGTCAGGTAGCATGATGCCTCCAGCTTTATTCTTTTTGCTTAGGATTGTCTTGGCTATGCGGGCTCTGTTTTGGTTCCATATGACGTTTAAGGTGGTTCTTTCCAGTTCTGTGAAGAAGGTCAATGGTAGTTTGATGGGGATGGCATTGAATCTGTAAATAACTTTGGACAGTATGGGCTATTTTCACGATATTGTTTCTTCCTAACCATGAGCATGGAATGTTTTTCCATCTGTTTGTATCCTCTCTTCTTTCCTTGAGCAGTGGTTTGTAGTTCTCCTTGAAGAGGTCCTTTGTGTCCTTTGTTAGTTATATTCCTAGGTATTTTATTCTCTTTGTAGCAATTGTGAATGGGAGTTTGCTCATGATTTGGCTTTCTGTTTGTCTGTTAAAAAATATAGAACACTTTACAAATTTGCATGTCATCCTTGCACAGGGGCCATGCTAATCTTCTCTGTATTGTTCCAATTTTAGTATTTTTGCTGCCACGGTGAGCACAAAATGATTCCTCCTTAGAAGCTCACTATCTAGTTGATTTACGCATGACTAATAAACAATAAAATGTCAGTGTGTTATAACAAAGATGCATGCAAAGGGCTATATGAGCATGTGTGAGAAAAAGAGCAGTGCTTTTTGCAAGATAGAGAAGGCCTCTCAGGAGAAGTGAAAGTTGAGCTAAGCCTTGCAAGATGGAAAAGCATTTGCCAGACACAAGAGAGGAAAGGCTTTCAGCAGCAGTCCCTTTGTGAACAAAGGTTCAGATGTTTACATATACACGGATTACCTTTAATCTCTGAACTGGCAGGCTGTTTCTATTCTGGAGCCACGTCCCCATAGCCTTGTCTCCTAACACTTTTAATGAAAACTTTGTTGCCTTCTAGTACTAACAACTGATGGATGGATGGATGGACAGCTGAATGGATGTTGTAAAGAAGCAAACCTGGTATTTCTCACATTTTCAGTTTTGCTGTCCATAAGGCAATGTCATATCATTAATGCCTTTGATTTTTAATTTATCTGTTGTGGACCTTAGAAATTCATTAAGAAAGTCTCAATAAAAGTAGTTAGATCTGGGCATCTTCTACCTAAGGGCTCCTGTTCTTTTCTTCCTGCTCATATATACATAGTCCTCACAAGGCCACTGGAAAATTAAACTCCTAGAGTGGGTTCTGGTTCTTACCCTGTAGTTGAGCCTGGCACTCTCACTCTGCAGCCCTTTTAACCTCTCTGTTGAGTAGACCTCTACTCTGCTTTTCAATGATCACTCATTTTCTCTGTGGCAGTCACCTCTGTCAGAAGCATATTAGAATTGGTACGACTCTGATTCAACACAGAAAAAGGAGCATCCCCTTTTATCTCCTGGCCTTATCCCATAGTGAATGCTGTGTGCTCTGAAAAATATCATGGTTTTAATGCCATTATAGAATGCCTTTCAGAGACCTGTGTGTGCCTCTGGTATTCTTACGTTCTGAGATTTGGGTTGAATCCATATTCTCATGAGCCTTCCAAATGCATTCCCAGTAATGATCTCTGAATTTGTACTCAGGAGGTCCCTTGGTGGAATATTTTCTCACCTGTGTTCCAGTGGCACTGCTTCAGAATTTCTGTCCTCAAAGCCTCCCTATTCTATGTCTGCTACCCTGATTTGAGCATGTGTTTCCCAAGATTAAAAGCTATATCTTCCTGGCTGAGCACAGTGGCTCACACCTGTAATCCCAGCACTTTGGGAGGCTGAGGCGAGCGAATTCAAAGTCACGAGATCGAGACCATCCTTGCCAACCTGGTGAAACTCCACCTGTACTAAAAATACAAAAATTAGCTGGGCATGGTGGCACACACGTGTAGTTCCAGCTACTTGGGAGCCTGAGGCAGGAGAATCGCTTGAACCTGGGAGGTTGCAGTGAGCCGAGATCATGCCACTGCACTCCTGCCTGGTGACAGAGCAAGACTCCGTATCAAAAAAAAAGGTTATATCTTCCTTAACTCTGGATTCTCAGCCCTTAGCATAGTACATAGCATATGGTATCTACATCTACCAAAAGTAACAGTTTTTTAGTCCATAGAAACAAAACAGTAAGTTGTCTGACAACAGTCAAAATACAGTTAATCAAGTGGACTGACTTTATTTCTGTTATTTTCATCTAACTGAAACCTTAGTCTCACCTATACACTCGCTTCTTATCCCCCTTCCCTGCCTTATTTTCCTTTGTAGTACTACTTTTTTGAGACTAGTCTCACTCTGTCACCTAGGCTGAAGTGCAGTGGTACAATCATGGCTCACTGCAACCTCTGCCTCCAGGGTTCAAGCAATTCTCTTTCCTCAGCCTCCCGAGTAGCTGGGACCACAGGCATGTGCCACCATGCCTGGCTAATTTTTGTATTTTTAGTAGAGACAGGGTTTCACCATGTTGCCTAGGCTGATCTCAAACCTGTGGCCTTGAGTGATCCTCCCGCCTCAGCCTCCCAAAGTGCTGGGATTATAGGTGTGAGCCACCAGGCCAGGCTTTCTCTGTAGTACTTTATAAGATATATTTATTTTGTTTACTTTCTGTCTTATTAGAATATAAATTCCATGAGGGCAGGGATTTCTTCTTTTTTTTTAACTGGTGTCTCTAGAGAGTGTCAAACAATGCTTGTTATAGAATAGGACTTGAGAAAATAATGATAAGAAAACAGTTTCAGCATATACAAATGCATACCATTAAGATGGTATGCATGTCTAATAGGAGAAAGTACTACTTTTAGGAAGCATATCACTCTTAAAGTTGTAGGTGGCTTATTTTCATTGAACTTCATATGAACTGTTTTCTAAAGCTTCAAAGTGAAATACACAATGAAATAGTTCTAATCATGAAGCTACACTTCATTTTTAGGTTTCAAGTTTGTAGCAACGAATATTTATTGAAATCTGTTTTGTGCCAGGCCATGCATTCAACAAGAACTTAGTATATGCCCTCAAAAAGGTCATAATAGGAGAGATATACAAGTACTATGATTGTGCTAGCACAGAGTTCCACCACCATACACAGGAGACACTTCTAACCCATTAGGGAGAGGTAGGAGGCAAATGCATGTGATGTCAGAGAAGGCTTCCTGGGATAGTTGACACCTATATTGAAATTGACATTCAAATAGAAATTAGCAGAAAGGTAGTAAGTTCTCTGTTCTTTAGAATAGGGCAGACAAATAACACAACAACCAACCCTAACATACTGTGTTATAAGAGAGATATGGTCATGAGTGCTCTTTGAACATAGATGAGGAAGAGACTAATGCCTTTGGATAAAATAGAGAAAACATCCCAGGGAAGGTAAAACTTGAGCTTGGTATTGAAAAACAGGGATATGTTAGACAGAAGAAGTGGTTTATAAGGGAATGGAAACAAGAACTGGCATTAGTGGGTTTGCAGGGAGTTATGAAAAGCTAAATCATAGAGCAGAAATGCTAAGAGATAATGCCGGAAGTAGGCAACAACCAAATCTTAAAGGACCTTGAATGCCATGCTAAGGAGTTTGAAATTTATTCTAAGAGCAGGGAAGAAAATTATGATGATCTGACTGTGGAGATTTCTACCCAGACCACACCGAAAAGGAACACCATTAAGTGATTCAGTTTAGCATTTTGATCTGAAACAAAAGACAAGTATGCTGGAAAACACCAGAAAGAGACTTGAGGATTGGGAAAAGAAAAGAGAAATGAAGGCAGTGACATAGTTTTTCTGCTACAGTTTGGGACCTCAGTCCTATATTCATGTGCCTACTTGGCAAAGAGATGGCCAGTGTTGATTAGAGGGCCAGTGGAGCTGAGTCTGTTTTCCAGGTTCTGATGGTCTTCAGCATAGACTTATTGGAGGCATATACTTCTTAGTATTAATAAGGATGGTAGAAAATGTCTCCTCGTGTGTACATGGGACTATCTTTAGTGACACTGATGTTGAGTAGATTAATAGTTAAAAAAAAAAAAAAAAGGAAAGTCAGGGTTTCACCATGTTGGGCAGGCTGATCTCGAACTCTTGACCTCCTCCACTCGCCTTGGCCTCCCAAAGTGCTGGGATTACAGGCATGAGCCACCGTGTCTGGCCTAGAAGATAGCTTTTATAAGACAGTTTGTTGGAACTTATCTGTAAAGCTATCTGGGACCAGGAATATTTCGGTTCCTTTTATACTTATTCATATATTCAAGTTCATTATTTCTTCCTCTTACGAAGTTTGGCCATTTACAGTTTTCTAGGTATTTTTCCATTTTATCTACATTTTCACCTTTGTCAATGTACAGCTTTGTTTTCTTCAAGCTGTTTTCTTCAAGCCAACATCCCAGATGTTCCTTGGAGCTACATTGAGACCAAAAAGAGCAATTCAACAACTTTTTTTAAAAAAGAAGAATGTAATTTTGAAACTGAGAAATATGTATGTAAGGTTTATTAGGACTAGTTCCTTCTACTTTTGCATATTTTTAAATTTCACAATAAAATTATTTTTAAGTAGTATAGTACCCAAGAAACTGATAATAATAACTCAAATATATTTTTATCCTCATTAACTAAATTTATTTTTTTTTCCTACAACATTAGGCATAATTCTTTAACTGTGCTGCTTACATGATACTTTAAAAGTACATATTTTATTTATACAGTATTCTAAGAACAAAGCAATATAACATGTAAGATACATTACAAATAAGAACATATCACTGGCAGCCCTAAGAATGTATATATATCTGTGCAGGTTAGGGAGAGCAATTTATAAAATGCCATTGTATAGTATAAATATAGAACAAATTAGTACAAACATAGAAAATATGGATTCTTTTTTTTTTTTTTTTTTTTTTTAGTGGCACTAATTTTCAGGAACAGTATTTCTTTAGACCCTTAAATTCTTTAACAGACTTTATAAAAGATACCCAACGTATCTTCCCATTCTTCAGAACGCTGTTGAACGGTGGTATGGAGAGCCAGCATGTACAACTCCCATCTTGAAACTTATGGCAGAACTGATGCAAAACAGGTAAGCAGTGTGACAGGTGTGAAAAAAACAATCTCCTATTAGCAGAAATCTCCAACAGTCAGACTTTCTTGATTTGTGTATTTTCAAGATAGTTAGCAAGAGCCCAGGAACCAAGACTTAAGATGATTGGTGAAAACAGAATTAGAGACATAAGATCGAGGCCTTTTGAGAGAAAGAACTACAGTGTACGTGGTGGTCTATGGGCACTATGGGAAATGGAAAAGAAATTGGAAGACTACAGCCACCATTATTTAAAATATTCAAAGGCACAAAATGGAGGAGGACAGCTATTTTAACTATTTCACTGCTTAAATGCAATTCTATATAATTTTAAAGCAGGAAAGAAGTTTAGAGGTCTCTGAGTTGAGATGCTTTATTTGATGGATAAGGAAAATGATTCTCACAGCAATTCATGGGAACACAGTTTGCCTCAGATGCTCTGGGAATTATTCCTGCTTTCACTTCTAAGCTATGCTTCTTCCTCTATGCCAAGAG